CAGTAGCTTCTTGACCTCGGTGGTTGCCGCCTGAGATCTTTCTTCGCCGTGATTCCTTTTCTTTTGCCTAACCGACTTCTTTTTTGGATCCATAACAAGTTTGTGGACAGCAAGATCCGAGCTGACACTTGACATCTCTTCCACTTCAAAGGCAAAGATGTCTTTGAATTCTTTCAGTAGTTGGTGCAACTCTGCACCCAACTTTGCAAAAGCAACCGTCCCCACTTTTACAGTTCTTTCCAGACGGCTGTTGTCTAAAATAAGATCAATAGTATCACCAGCCGGCTAGGGACGGAGATCCTCTGATCGTTCCCCGATTAGTGATTGCTATTGCTTCTCTTTTTTTACGGCCACCAAATGGTCCACCTTTCTCTTTTTGCCGGCTTCTTTGGGAGCAGGCGCGGCTTCCTTGAAGTCATCAAGGTTAATGGGCTTCTCATTACGGCCGGCTGCAATAGCAGTCGACTAGACGTCTGAGAGGTAGCACTCCCTAGCCATCTTCTGGTTCCCATTCAGGGAATCCACTGACCCGTCATCCCTCTCAAACTCAATCAGCATGAGGGATGGGATGATCCTTGGACTCGTTGAGGGTAGGACGACCAAGAATAAGATTGTAGGCGGTCAATTCCTCGACCACCAAAAATTTGACGACCATGTGCCGTCCTTCCCCTTTCTCTCCAAGCCGGATGGGTAGGCCAATCCTCCCCACCGGATGCACTACTCCTCCCCCAAAGTCGACTAGGGGGTGAGAAGCCTTGTGCATACTGCTAGGCTTGTACTTGAGCTTTGCCAAGCACTGATAGCTGATCAGGTCAGACGAGCTCCCGGTATCGATGAGGATCCGGCCCACTCGTTGGTTGGAAACCTTGCATTTGATGACAATTGGGTCATCATGGGGCCGCCTGACCATACCCCGATCCTTCTCAGAGATGAAAACCTCAAGGAAGGTGTCTTTCGACGCCTGGCTCTCATCCTCTGGGTTGGATAGTTTGCGGATGTTATCCTTGGTATCCCGGATGGTAGAACCACCGCTCGCGAAGCCGCCTGCTATGGTGAAGATGTGCTCTTCATCAGAGTCAGAGCTCACAGCCGGCTTCTTTTGTAGTTGTCCATTGTTGGTTTTGGGGTTACCCTTAGACTTCACCATGTAGGACTTCAAAGCCTCCTCATTAGCCAGACGGTCCAATATCCGCCCGAGGCTATAGCAATCATTGGTTTCATGGCCGACATCCTCATGGAAGTGACAATACTTGCTCTTGTCACGGCTCTTGATAGAATTCTTCACTGCTGTCGGTTTTTCAATTGTTAACCGGTCGTTGATCTCCATGAAGATGGAAGAGCAGTCCTTGTTGAACTCGTACTTGGGGACGTACGGTTCCAACTTTCTCTATTTCTTCTAGGACGGCTGACCAGAGCGATCCGCCGCCCAGACTTCTTTTCTTTTCTTGCCCTCTTCTTTTTTGGCCGGCTGGGCAACCTGGCACTCTCTCTTGTCGGAACTCCTGGGTTCCGACGAGTGCTTGATGGCACAGAGCTCCGTCGCTTGTATATAGGCTTTGGCTTCTATCAGCGCCTCTTAGAGGGTAGCAACCCTCTTGCGGACCAGGTCGAACTTGAAAGTCGACCCGTCCCTTAGACCCTTGAAGAAGTCTGTGTATGCAACTTTGTCAGACAACCCCTGAATCTGAATTCTCATCAGATTAAACCGTGACGAGTGGCATTTATGCCACCATCTCAACCTCTTTCACTAGTGAATTCCCCTGATTTGTCACTTGTTTGCACATTTTCTTACCGTTTTTACTCTTATGTTAGTTACTTTAGCTCCCTCTCGTGTTTTCCGTATCTTTTTATCTTTTCTTCTACTTTTTACCTTCTATTTGTGTGTTTTGATAGCTCCTAGCACTCGTGGGCAAATTTTGGATTGTAAGACGGAGTAGAGTTGCTAAGGAGGCTCGTCAAGGGAAGAGGAGATGCTGCAAAGGAGAGGGCGCGCTGCTCTAGCTATCCTCGGGAGCGGACAGGGGGTTACTGAGCTATGAAGAAGATTCTGGAGATGGCCAGCCGCGGGCGCGGCAGCGAAGACCTACCGGCGCGACAATCAGGGCCGCGGGCGCGGCGATCTAGGTCTGACGATCTTATTACCCAGCTTGGAGAGGGCGCGACAGCCTGTTCGGAGAGCCCTCTCCCTTGCCCATTTCCCTCATTGTAATAGAAGACTATAAATAGTCTTAAGCTTGAGTTTTCAAGAAAAAAAAACTATTCCATTGGCATCAAAACACTTTGTAGAGAGAGAAAATGCATGTCTTTTAGAGAGAGAAAACACTTAGTCTTCAAGATTTAATCTTTGTTATCAAATATTCAAGCTTTCTTCTAGATTGTTACAACAACTTTGATGATTGGGTAATCTTTCCTCCTTATTCTCTAGTTTTTAGTTTTATTAGTTCTATTGCTCTTACTTATGTTTTCTTCCATAAATTGCCATGCTTTATTGGTTTCATTGATTTCTCTTTGAATTAGAATCATGCTAGGTTGTGTTAGTATTAAATATATGTTTAGCTTAGTTGTCATGGCTATTTTCCTTCCTCTAGCTTAGATTTTTAGCTAGGGAAGGGGGTGAAAATCATGTTTATTTGAGTTCCTATTGATTATTGATTGGATTTTACCTTGAGTTGATGATTTGTGCTTAAATATGCTTGGATTTATTGTGTGCACCTATAACCCCAATGTTTTAGTCCTAGATTAGATGCATGAGAATGATCTAGTTTAGGGTTGATTGATTTCATCAACTTGCTTTGAGTAGTTGCATGAGAATGAATTGCTTTGAGTACAGTTTAAACTCCTTGGTATATTTCCTTGTTGATTTTCATTAGTGTCTTGTTGGTCATGATTGGAACCCCCTCTCCCTAGTGCTTTTTGCTATTATTACCTCTATAATCTTGCTCTTCATCTTCATTTTAGAGTGTCTAGCATAATCTTCTTAATTTTGGTTTAATTTAGTCTCTTTTGGTAGATAGTTTGATCATAGAATTCTTCAAAAACCACACCATAATACCCCTTTTTGTTACTTGCAATATATCCTCCGATCTCGTATTGATTGTGGAATACCCCCGTTTCCTTGGGATTCGACCCTAACTTGCCATTATCTAGTGTGAAATTGATAGAGTTAGGTTAGGAATATAAATTGTAAATTTGATCTAGGATAGTAGACCAACGACCTATTGTCCCCTGATCAAATTTTTGGTGCCGTTGCCGGGGACACGGCTTGTTTTGCACTTTCATTGTGTTATTATTGGATTTGTTGCCTTTTTATTTTGTTCCTTTACTCTTTTTCTATTCATTGCTAATTGTTTGCTTAGCTTTGGTGGATGCAAAGGAGATCTAAAGGACCTCCTACTCACTACATTTACCACGAAATCGACCGCACTTTGAGACTAGTCTGAAGACTTTATCAAGAAGAGGGGAGAGGTTTTGGTGCTATTTTTGATAGTGAGAGTGATTCTTGGTCTTCAAGTTATCAAAGCGAGGAAATGGCGAGGCAAGAGAATGATATTTTGTTTCGTGAGTTTGGTAATCCGGAGGATTATGAGCTCACCGGTGGGATATTGCTACCCGTCACGGAAACCAACTTCACCATTCATCCTTAATACACTAGAATGGTTCAAGCGGAGCAATTTTCGGGTTCTCCAAGTGAAGATCCTATTGAGCACCTTGATAGATTCCTCGAGCTTTGTGCCATGATACAAACCAATCAAGTTTCTCAAGAATACATCCGAATGCATCTATTTCGACAATCTCTTGCGGGTAGAGCAAAGAAGTGGCTTAAGCAAGTCAAGCCTAATTCTCTCACGACATGGAGGGAGATAGTCAAGGCATTCTTAAAGAAATTCATTTCCGAAGAAAAGACCGCCGAGATGAGAAGGAAGATTGCATCGTTTGAGCAAGATGCGGATGAGAGTCTTAGTGAAGCTTAGGAAAGGTTTAAAGAGTTGGTTCAAGCATGTCCTCATCATGAGTACAATCAAAGCTTGCTCATGAGGTTCTTCTACGATGGTTTGGAACCTATGTCTAGAGCTAGCTTGGATGCGGGAGCGGGTAGACAATTGATTAAAGTCCCTCAAAATCAAGTTGAAGCAACAATTGAAGAGGTAGTGAAGAACTACTGTTGGGGTGGTAGAAGGAGGAATGCACCAAAGAAGGGTGGAAAGTATGAATTGGAGAAGGTTGATCAATTGCAACATCAAATCGAACTCTTGACAAAAGGGCTTGCAAAGTTAAATGCGAATGTCAATAGTGGGGCAAGCTCCTCCCAATTCAATTCCTTCTCTTGTCAAAATTGTGGTGGCACAAACCATGATACATCTTATTGTGGAGGTTTGAGCCCGGAGCATGTAGCGGCATATAACACAAGGCAAGATGGATATAGGGGAGGTGGCGGTGGAGTAGCTTGGAGACAGCCACCACCCGGATTTGCAACCCAACCTCAACAATAGAATCAACAAGCTCAACAACCATACAACTCCAACTCCAACTCCCAATACCAAAACCCACCTCCATTCCAAACCCAAAACCCAAGGGGAAACTACCCAAGAAACCACCAACACAATAATCAACACCAATACCACAATCAAAATCAAGCGACTCAAAGGAGTCAAGAGCAAACATCTCAACCCGATTCTACTCAAACCCAAATTCTTTAACAACTTCAAGCCATTAATCAACAAATGCAAGAGGTAAAGGCTCATAACAAGATGGTTGATTCACAACTAGCTCAATTGGCTGAGAAAGTTCCTTTCAACTCACCTTCTACTCTACCCGGACAATCACAAACCAACCCTTCCAACATTGTGAAACCCGACTCTTGTAAGGGAATCACATTGAGATCGGGGATATCCTATGAGGGTCCCAAGGAGGGGGATAGCAAGGAAAAGAAGGAAGGAGAAGAGAGTGTGAGTGAAGATAAAAAAGTTGAAGAAGAGAAGGTTGATGAGAAAGAGAGAAATATGGAGAAAAAGAGGTCTAAGGATGAGGTGAATTCCTCAACTTCTAGTGAGGCTAGAAATCTTGATGGACCGGTTCCCTTTCCTGGTCGACTTGCGGAGAGAAAATTGAATGACAAATTTGCAATGTTCCTAAGTGTGATGAAGAACTTGCACATAAGCCTCCCTTTCATTGAAGTTGTCACACAAATGCCTTCATACTCAAAGTTCTTGAAAGACATTCTCACCAACAAGAGGAAGCTTAATGATGAGATTATCACTCTCCCCCATCAAGTGAATGCACTTTTTCAACATAAGATGCCCAAGAAGCAAAAGGATCCTGGAAGCTTTACTTTGCCGGTAAAGATTGGGAACATGGAAGCTAAGGGTGCTTTAGCCGATCTTGGAGATGTTAGTTTGATCCCTCTATCCATTGCTCAAAAACTTAATATTGAGATGATCCCCACAAGGAAAACCATTCAATTGGCCGACCGTTCGGTGAAGCTACCTTGTGGTGAGCTTGAAGATGTCCCTATTCAAGTTGGGCATACCTATGTGCCTTGTGATTTTGTAGTGATGGATATGGAGGAAGATGTGGATACTCCCTTGATTTTGGGCTGTGAAGCTCTTAAGACCTTGGGGGCAGTAATCAATTGCAAGAACATGAAAAGGGAGTATCCACATCTTCCTCCATATCTTCCTCCATTTCCAAGATAACCACGTGAACATGAGAGGTAGCCGATGAAAAAATTGTTTTTGAATTCTCTAAGTTACTCAAGACCCCCATGGTTGAGAAGTGCTATAGGGTTGATGTTGTGAATGAAGAATTAGATCGTTTGGGAAGGGTTGTGATGAGCCCTCAAGATCCAATGGTTGAAGCTCTTACATGCGAAGAAGAGTACCACTCTCAAGAAGCAAAGGAGTTTGTCATGGCCATTAAAGAAGCCAAAAAGGAGGAAGAGGATGATCCTAGGGATGATGAGCTCGAACTAGCGGAGGAAAAGTTGGAGGAGAGTTCCAAGCCTCCTCCCAAGGTAGAACTCAAACCCCTTCCCCCTTCTTTGAAATATGCTTATCTTGGAAATGAAGGGGAATACCCTATTGTTGTCAATGCTACCCTTGATGGGCTTGATTTAGAAAAATTACTTGATGTGTTGAGAAAATATAGAGATGTGATAGGGTATAACATTGATGATATCAAGGGTATTAGCCCTTCTTTGTGCATACATCGTATTCACCTTGAGGATGATCAATCCACCTCAATTGAGCCTCAAAGGAGGTTGAACCCCAACCTCCAAGAGGTAGTCAAGAAAGTAATTTTGAAATTGCGTGAAGCGGGCAAAATCTATGCTATCTCTGATAGCAAGTGGGTTAGTCCGGTTCACGTGGTTCCAAAGAAAGGTGGAATGACCATTGTCAAGGGAGAAAGAGGAGAGGAAATCTCCACCCGGACGGTGACCGGGTGGAGGATATGCATTGATTATAGGAGGTTGAACAAAAATACAAAGAAAGACCATTTTCCTCTCCCCTTTATGGACCAAATGTTGGAGAGACTCTCCCATCATGCTTTCTTTTGCTTCTTGGATGGATATTCCGGATTTTTCCAAATCCCTATCCATCCAAGTGATCAAGAGAAACTACTTTTACATGTCCATATGGGACATTTTCATACCAAAGAATGCCATTCGGGTTATGCAATGCTCCCTCAAATTTCCAATGATGCATGACTTCCATTTTTTCCGAAATGCTTGAAAAAGAAATTGAAGTTTTTATGGATGATTTTAGTGTTGGTGGCTCGTCTTTTGACACATGTCTTTACAATCTTGAAAAGGTTTTGAAAAGGTGTCAAGAGACGAGTTTGGTGTTAAATTGGGAGAAATGCCATTTTATGGTCGAGGAAGGTATTGTCCTAGGCCATAAAGTATCAAAAAAGGGCATTGAAGTTGATTCGGCCAAAGTTTCGGTGATTGCTAAGTTGCCCCCTCCTACTTCCGTTACGGGAGTGAGAGCCTTTCTAGGGCATGCTGGTTTTTACCGGAGGTTTATCAAGAATTTTTCATCAATCGCCAAACCTTTGACCGAATTACTCAAGAAAGATGTAGTGTTCAATTTTGATGAGGCTTATCTTGAGGCTTCCAAAAACTCAAGGAAGCCCTCATTTCCTCTTGATAGGCCGTTGTCGAGTCCACCAAAATATAAATTCCTATCTTGGCTCACTAACTAATATCAAGGGTAAGAAAGGGTCGAACCCAAGAGAGGTGTTGAATTAACCACCGAGTACTACCGTTTAAATAAGCTAAATGAAGTCTAAATTGGGTTGGTTGTGAGTGACTTCTACTAATTCAATTCAACTAAAGCTAAGAGGAGATTAACAATATTTAGAGGAATCTAGGGTTCGGGTTATACCACTCAAATTCATCACAAATCACAATTAGCATGCAACAATCAAGGTAAATTAATGGGATAAATCAGGGGAAGTCATCTAAGGCACCCAACTACTCTCTCAAGCTAGAGGGATTACTTGAATCATGAATACAACCTACTCTTGTGGTTACAAAGCATAAAACAAGTGTTAAAGCATAATCACGACGACATAAACATTCCCTTGACCGAAAATTCCTATTCTCATGGCATTTCGGGTCAATGAAGAAGAAGGGAGCTAACTCAAGTTCATCTCTCGATCCTTCGTTGAGAAAGCTTGGATAAATAGTTCTAGTAATGGCCATATACAAGAACTAAGCAATTAAACCACTTAAGCTCAACTAATCAACATCCCACAACAACCAAATTAGCACATGCAACTATTTATTAGTGACTACATTGAGGGTTTTACCCAAACCCTAGAAATTAGACTACTCACAATCCATGGAGGTTAAAGCAAATAAAGATTTCAAGAAATTCATGAACAAGTTCAAACTAAGGATTAAGCTAATTAACAATCTAAGCATGCAAGAATTAAGCAAGTAATTAACAATAAAATAGAGAGTAATGGAAGAGAAGAGTAAGAAATAGTTACTATGAAGCTTCAAAGTGAGCAACAACGGTGGAATTTGTCTTCTACAATGGTTGAAATTGATAATTTCCAACCTACTAATTAGAACCTAACTAATGATTTGAGAATTTAATGTTCTAGGATTGCAAAACTAAGAGAAAGCTCTAAAAACCTTGCTGCCCGTACAAATGAGCTCCAAGGGGGTATTTATAAGACCCCCAAATAAAAAGGACGGAGAAAACAAGAATCGGGCTTGACTGCAGGTCTGCACGACGTGCCAGGTTTGGCACGGACGTGCAGACCAAGCTGCACGGACGTGCTGCCTAATGCACGGCCGTGCAAGGCATGGCAGAAGCTACTTCTTAGGCTTGAAATCTTGCACGGACGTGCCAGTTATGGCACGGACGTGCAACCTCTTCTGCATGGACGTGCGAACCTAAGCACGACCGTGCAGGCCTTGGCAGAATGTTGCAACTTTCTGGAGCACTCCTGCACGGACGTGCAAGGTCTGGCACGGCCGTGCAGGGTCTTCTAAGCCCTTTTTCCATCTTTTCTTTTATATTGCTCCTTTCCTTGCCTTCTTTCTACCATCTTCTTGATTCTAACCTCGGTTTTGTATCCATGGGCTCCATTTGGCCGTCTTTGAACCTAGAACCTCAACAAAAACACTAACAACCCGTGAAGCATAGGATACACAAAATTTGCATAATAATAGAGTAAAAGTGAACCAAAACACAAATTTTATCAAGTAAACTAGGTTCAAAAACACCCTAAAATCATATCAAATAGCAAGTTATCAAATCCCCCCAAGCTAAGCTTTTGCTCGTCCTAGAGCAAAACAAACATGTCGAACCAAAGGGGGAAAACAAATTGCTAACATCAATCCAAGGAGAGGCAATAAGGAGGAAGCATAAATCCACAAATCCGCATGGTCACAACCATCATCACTTTTAGCACAAGTGAGAAGCAATTTAAACCTCTAAGTCGCCTTAGAGGACGAGTTTGTATCTCGTGAGGGTTTCCATTGAGCTTAACCCACAACTCACACAAACCACGACAAAACTATCAACTACACAAATTCCAATATTTTTATCACCCAAGTCAACTCATTGGGATATAAATCGCAAGCAAGTCAAGTGAGCAACTTTCAAGAATTACCAATCATATAAATGTACACATGAGTTGGGGGTAAAGAGGGAAATTAAGCAAGGTTGCATTAGGATACTTCTTTAGACCTTTTACTAGTTCATTAGAGCACATCTAGATATTTCAAAGTTGTAACAAGCCCTCTTTCGGTTATAAAATCTCAAAATGCTAGTCCCCCTCCCAAAATGCACACCCAAGGCCCCTTAATTACACTCTAACTCGGGAATTTCACAAGAAACAATAAACAACATAGTAGAAAATGTGTGGGAGGCATCCACAAGTTGACCTCTAAAGAAGAGAAATTCTAAATTTTGAGAATTTTGGGGGAGTTTTTGTTCTCCGTTCTTTTCTATATATATATTTTTTTTTTCAACATCATTGCCCTCGCCTCTTTTAACTGTGAGTGGCTCTTTCTTTATTCGAAACGTGTGGCTTTTTATGCCACTTATTACACATAATACAAGCAGAGCTAATTCCTTAATAGAGTTTCATTTCGGGGAGGAGAGGAGGCACATTAAGGGCACAAGGGACCGGAATTCAATTCAAACATATCCTACTTGAGCGAATTAGACAATATCCTATACTAGGTGTGCAATTGAGCATTCATTGGCTTTCATTTCATATACACTAATGCAATCAATATTAATAAGCCTCGAAATGGCCCTAACTCTTGCATACACCCTTCTAAAATACTAGTACTCATCGCTCAAGAGTCAAGCAAGCAAAACATATAGGCATTGTCATTTGAGTCTCATCCTTGGGCAATTTTTTTTTTCATTTTTCAATTTTTTCATCATTTTTTTTTTGTGAAGAGAAAGCGAAAATATTCACATTACTAACTAGAGAGGGAACACTAATATACACATGACATGAGGTTTGGATTTCAAGGAAGCTAAATTGGATTAAGGGCCTTGGATATTAGGGAAATGAAACAACCAAAACAAACCAACATGTCAAAAAAGGCATGCAAATGACCCCCCAAGCTATCATAAACATTGTCCTCAATGTTAAGCAATAAAAGCACATAGAAAAAGGGAAGAAAGAAGACTAACTAAAGGATCGGGTCTTCTTTGACGCTTGAACCTCCTTGGTACCTTTGTTCTTGTTTGTTGTTGTTGGAAGACATGCACTTCGTGTTTTTTATTTTTCTTTTTTTTTTTTTTTTTAATCCACTACAAAAATACTCGGGTTGCCTCCCGGAAGCGCTTCTTTAACGTCTCTAGCTTGACGACATTGCGCTATCCATAATTAGGGAGGGTCAAGGCACACCTTTTTGACCCATCTCATTGTTCCCACACACTTTTCATTTTCCTTAGGCAAAATAATCACATTGCCATCATCACTAGAAATGCAACCAAACAACTTGTTCATCAACTTGATCTTGTTTCTCTTTTTCATCTTGGCCCTCTCTTGCTTTTTCACCTCCGAATCATGAGTCAATTCATCTTGTGACTCCTCCATGTCTTCTTTCAATTTATTAACCAAAACATCAACCCGATGAACTTGTTTAACCATAGGGTCATTCAACGTTTCCGGAAACGAGAAAGAGATTCTTTCATCCCCAACATGTAAGGTAAGC